CCCCCCCCCCCCCCCTCTCCTTCCCTTCTTTCTACCTTCTTCCTTTCTTGTTTCCCTTCTTTTCTCTCTCTTTCTTTGCTGATTTCTGGGTGAAAGACCAAACTACCCTTGCCTACTCATCCTTGGAGTGGGTATTGGCAGTTTTGATCTGGAGCCCCCCTTGGAGTGGACTTTGAAATTTGGTTTGGTGTTTCTGATTGGCCTTTGGCCTGACAACTGGGTGGTTGGAGACATATCAACCTCTGTAGACCCCTTCTCGATCTCTAGACGTTGGTGTGGATCCCTTTCCTTTCTTACCTTGTCCCCCCTCCCTCCCTTCTTCTCTTCTATTTCTCTTTCTCCTTTTCTTTCTTTCCTTCCTCCTCCCTCCTCTTGCTGTTCTTCTGGGTGACAGGTCAGACTAAACTCACACTCTTCCTTTGAGTGGTTAAGTTTAGAATGGCTTGGAACCCCTGACTCCTGGTTTTGGGCATCTGTTCTTGGTGCTTAGATTTTTGCAACTTTGTTTGATTTGCCTTCTGGCTGGACCTCTGGGTGGCTAGAAACACCTTAACCTCTGAACACCCCTTTTGGATGTTTAGAGGTTGGGTTGGATCCTTACTGGCTTTTGCCTACTCTCTCCGCTCTCCCCCCTTCTCCTTCTTGCCTTTTGGCTCTTTTCTTCTCTTCTACCTCTGATTTGGTGATTTCTGAGAAACGGACCAAATTAAACTCACCCAAACTTCCTTTGATTGGATGAGGGTAGCATGGTTTGCCTCTCCTGTTCTGCTCTCCTATTCTGCTCTGCTGTTCCTTGAGCATTGATGAACCTGTTGTGTGTGCCCTGGGCTATTGTAGCACTTGATACCTAGGCTTTCAGACTAGCTGTTTTTGATACTCTGAAGACGAACCTCCATGATGATTGTGATTGAACTGAGCTGCTGTTTATGGTGTTGGTTGATGGGCTCTAACTACTCCTTGTGGACATAAACTTTATTGAAGACTTGTGTGTATTTGGCTTAGTGTTTGTTGGCCTCCCTGTGCTGTAGAAGAGCTGATAGCTTCTTCGAAGGGATAGTTCATTGGCATTTGTTTGTATTGCAGTTTCGTTGTAATGTGTTGTATGTCTTTGTTTCTTTACGGTGTGATGTATTTGTTAGTGTAACTCGTAACCTATGCGTGTAACCATGTTGATGGTTAAGCATATAACTTTGATGTATTTGTTTGATTTGGGTAATAATAATTTACATGTTACCCTTGAGAACTAGGATTCATTTGAAATATTAGATTTCAATTCCAACATTTGAAATTCCAAAGTTTTAAATTTCAAATGGTGTTTGGAAAGTCATAGAAATCAAATTCTAGAATTTGAATTTTGAAGTCGACAAAGATGGTTACAGATGCGGATTGATATGCATGTATGAATAGAAATCAACCTATGTAGCACTCTAAAACACCCAGTTCACACATATAACACTCCTTACTATTTTTCACACATTTGGCTATTTATGGCGCGGATCTCTTCCAGTCATACCCTTTTATTATAATGTAATATTTTAATTATTTCATTACCATATTTATTGAGATCCATAATTTTATGAGGTTATTCTCATTCAATGTACGTAACACTTGGAATCGTCATGCCACTCGTCACTGCTTAAACACATTTAATAAACAAAATAGGAAGTGTATACTAACTTTTTTGGCAGTGTGGAATGGTAATGTTATGCCTATACTTTTGACCAGTGTGTTGTTATGATTCACAATACTTAACTACACTTTCTGGCTGTGTGTTATGCCCATGTTCTACAAGTATATACCAACTTAAACATATATTTTTGGAAGTGTGAAATGATCATGTTTTGACAGTGCGGATACATGTTATATTGTGTATGACGACAGTGTCTTATGCGCATGTTCTGAAAGTGTATACTAACTTAAACACAGTTTTTGGCAGTGTAGAATGGAAGGACAAATTTGGAATTGCATCCACACGAGTTTCAATATCTCATAACAGTGTATATTGGGTATTTTAAGCATATATTAGTGCTATAACGGTACTTCTCCCATGTATGAAATTGTTATTACATAAGAGGAGATCGCTCTTTAATTACAAGTTCTAAACTAAAGAAAAGTTGGGCTTGAGTTGGTAAACGACACGGGAAGAGGTGTTGATTTATAATTGAGTTAATTTTGAATTAGAAGAATTTGGTCCAAATCAAATCCAAATTCTTGGAGTTCCCAAACAAGTAATTTTGATCAAATCTGGATTTGAAATCGAAATTCAAGTTTCCAAACACAACATAATAATTTCAATTTTAAGATAATATATTTGTGGCTCTCCATATTTGAGGACTTATCAATGATTGGTTATTTGAGCACTATATGTAAAAAAATAATATTTGTGTCAAAGAATTCATTATGTAATAGTTTTTAAGTATAAAAGGATTAGCGGATCGTAAATGTAATATCTTAGAATTAGAGAGCGTGTATTGAAAACTCGCCTTTTTGAAAGAAAGAGTTTACTGAATTTTGAAAAAATGGGAGAGAAGAATGTAAATTTTATGTGGGTGATTTTTACGATTATTAAATCTGAAGTATGAAATATTGAACCACATAAACATAGTGCCGAATAGATAGTACCATAATTTTCAGAATGGAATTGTGACCAAGTCGGTCAAGACATTGGTTTACAAGTTCCCATTGATTTTTTTCAAAAAATTGCTGCTGGGTATCCTCAGTTTTGTGATAAGAACTCGCAGGTCCCATTATTATTTAAAATATACTCCAAGGTACCTTAAAATATCCTAAAAATAACTTTTGGGTAACAATCTGTCACTCTCTCCTTCAATTCTTATTCTCCGTTAACTTTTTCTTCTTCATCATCATCTTGCGTCATCTCCTTCCTCTTCTTGTTTCTTTTCTTCTTTCTTCTTCTTCTCCCCCTCCTCCTCCTCCTCCTCCTCCTCCTCCTTCTCCTTTGCATTGCCTTCGGATCAAATCCAACGCCTCCTTTTTTTCTTCTTCTATTTTTTGTTTTGAATTCTTTTTCTTCTTCTATTATAATTATTATTTGTTATAAATTATTATTATTATTATAAAAAATTAATTAGTAGTTTTACTATTCTAATTTTTCAGAAAAATAGCATTACTATTATTACTCCATATTTATTACTCCGTATTATTTGATTCTGATTCTATTATTGTTATTATTATTATTAATTTTATTTATTATTATTACTATTATTATTAAAAACTAATTATTATTTTTACTACTCTTTTTTTTCAAAATATAACAATAATTTTTATTTAGAAAAATAGCACTTCTTATAACAGTACTTTATTATGACTTTGTATTAATTATTATCTATTTCTTATTATTTTCTTTTTCTTCTATAGTTTTTTATTATTATTTTTGTTAATAATTAACTAGTAGTTTTTTACTCCATTTTTATGAAAATAAAACTAATTAATATTCATAAAAATAGTACTTATTTAAAATAACACTTATTATTATCATTATTAAAAAATTATTAGTAATTTTACTACTCTAATATTTTTGACATTTGATGTTATCTTTCGCATTAATCATGAAGTAGCCACTAGTAACTGTCATTGGTAGTAGTGAATCCCGAAAATGAGAGGACCTAAAACGAGAATAAGACGGGTAAGTGCCTCTAGATTTTTTTTAAGGATCATATGAAATGATAAAAATAGTTTTAATTTCATATTATTATTATTATTATTATTATTATTATTATTATTATTATTATTATTATTATTATTATGAATTACAACGTATACTTTATTAGCAAGTGAATAAATAATCTTAATTTTATAAACTATACATAAATATATTACTAAAATTAATTTTCAATTAAAGCTTTAAAATATTTTAACTTTTGTTAACGCAAGTGAATTTGGAAAAGAAGTTAATTGGGTGATACGAATATCGTATCGGATAGGGAAGAACTTCGTGAAAGTCGGTTTACACCCTAAGAGGGGGGTGAATTAGGGTGTTTACAAGTTTTTAGTAAAAACAAAAACTTATGCGCAATGTAGTAGCGGAAAAGGAGCAAGAAAAGTATGAAAGATAAAAATACGACACAAGTGATTTTATACTGGTTCGGGAACTCTCTACTCCAGTACCTCGAGGCTCCTCCTAATGCACAAAACAATACGTTCAATGCTTTGACATTCAAAGAGAGTTTTTTTTGTCATTGATTGTGAGCTTGTCCATTGGCGTAGGCACTTGATGTTCACCTACAGTTGTCATAGGAACAAACGGGCCATTAGTAGTAACAATCCATAAGTCAAAATCGATGGATTGAATGAAGTTCTCCATTCGCATTTTCCAATAACTGTAGTTATCACCATTGAAGAATGGTGGCTTGGTGATGCTTTGGGAATTCATTGAATCCATGTGTCATAAAAAGAAATAAAAGATGAGTGTGAAAGGATCAAACTTCCTGCTCCGATTAGGGTGTTTACAAGTTTTTAGTAAAAACAAAAACTTATGCGCAATGTAGTAGCGGAAAGGGAGCAAGAAAAGTATGAAAGATAAAAATACGACAGAAGCGATTTTATACTGGTTCGGGAACTCCCTACTCCAGTACCTCGAGGCTCCTCCTCAAGGA